GGCTGTTGTATAACAGGAGCTTGTTCTTCTGGTTCAGGTCTTTAGGTATAATACCAACGAACTGACCTACTCTTTTACCAATATTTTTGACTCCGTTCCAAATTCCTCTTCTACGGTTTTTATTCCATTCCATATACCTCTTCCAACATTTCGAAAGAAGTTTCCAATACTACTGAAGAAACCCATTTTACTATATGTAAAATCTAATGTCCGCCTAGTCTCTTACGTTTCCTGTTGAGTTCCATAGCATTCTTTAACTGGAGCTCATACATTCTGTTTCTCCTCTGGTAGAAAACATATTCTGGGTCAACTCCTGTGTTCGCGTCATCTGCATAAAGTTGTTTATATCCCACTTCAGGGTTTGTATAAAACTCTTTCCATCTCATATTTGCATACCATGGTGGCAAACCTAACGCAGCGTCATTTGACATGGCAGTTTGCATTTGTACATCTGTTGGCACTTGACCATAGTTTGCCATTGCAGTTTGTATTCTAACTTCATTTGGAATATTCTCTGGGTTTGGTTGTCCAGGTTGCTGTGCATTCGCTAAGTTCTGTGCGTCCATTTAATATTAGATAAAAATATCTCTTACGAGTACATATGCTGAACATTTGCAGGCATTGGTTCATCTTCATATTCTCTATATCTTTCTGCCACGTCAAATAAATAAATGACACAATGGAAAAAACCTAAAACAAGTAGTCCTATTTCAAACCACATTTACTTACTAATAAAATTTCTTTGTTATGACACTTTCTCCAGTTTATAGGACCTCTCTCATATTCTATCTTATCGTATCTAAACTCATAGTCATGTATGTCCTCTAACCATCTCATGACACTTTCCAAACCACTTTTATCGGATGTAAAGTAAAAGCATGGATGGTTATGTAAAACGTCTAAAGTTTCTAAAGAGTCTCTCAAAGTCCAGTCTACTTGGTATTGAAAATCCCATGTGTTATAGAACGGCGGGTCCACTATAAAGAAAACATTTTCCTTGTCTTTATATTTTTCATACAACTCTGTCCAACGACATCTCACAAACTCTATACCCTCAATATATTTTTCTATGTCCTCTTTGAAAACATTTGTATAGTTAAGATATAAAACTTTTGACATAAGTGTTTCAATGTCATGAACTCTTATAGCACCACTATATAATAGTCTAGAAGATATACTATCCCAGTCAATATACTCTGCTTTTTTCAAAACCTCTCTGACAGTATTTTTCTTATCTAATGGTATACGTTCCATCTTACCTATAGGTATCTTTTCTTTTAACTCTTTCAATATTTTGTTTGTGTCTGGTATATGTTTGAGACGGTTCATATAGTTGTCGAAGTCATTGCATATAATCTTTGAGTCAGGAAATACAGTATGGCACAAATGAGATATATAGAAACTTCCACCGAACAAATCTACAAATGTTAGACCATTCGGTAGTTTCTTAAGTTCTCTCAATAGAATATCTTTACATCTACTCTTATTTCCAAAGAAGGGTAACGGTGGTTTTGTAAAATTCATTTTATATATATATAAAAATGTTTTTTCCCTGAAAAGTGACAGAAAAGTGACAAAGCATGAAAACATATATAATTTGTGAAAAGCGACACATTATATAATGTTTTCGACCCAGAAGAAGGCTTCTTCCCAGAAGCAATGGAGGAAGAAGAAGAGTCCTCCGAATATAAACTTCATTTATACTAAACATCTTCGGGGCTAGAGGGCACGAAGTGCCTGGAAGCCCCACTACCCTTTTTTTTTTTTTTTTTTTTTTTTTATATATGTTGTCTATATCAGACCTCCTTTCTTTTTGATACTTAACATTGTTCCTAAATCTTAGCCGTTAAGGCTGTTCTGAAAATACTTTTTTTTCGAAAAAATTCGAAAAAAATTCTTAAAATTCAAAAATCCCTTAATTCCTGAGGATTTTGGAAAAAAGTTTTTACATGAACATGTGTATATTATATGAAGTATATTGATAAGGTAAAAATCAAATTTTATTGCATATTCATCGAGAAAATAAACTAATGAATCCCTCAAAATTGAGAGGGTAATCCTCCTCCTCTCAAATAAACGTACATACGGGTGCACTCTTAACGCCTCAGATACAAAAAAAAAGCATCAATAGAGTATGATTTCAGACATATTAACTAGTAAATCGTGACTGAATAGTCCTACAAAAGATTGTACAATAAGTTGGATTCAATAAAATGTATTTCTTAATTCCATTGTTATCAAAATATAGAAATCTATTTAGAATAAATGAGATAAATGTCATATACTTATTCTTTTATAAATAATGGCAGATAATATATGCCTCAAAATCTTAATATTCTTATTCATTTTATTAACTTTGATCTATGAAGATATATCTCTTTACATTTGTCTTTGCATGTTATAGGATTATCAATGAATGTGCAAGCATGAATCATTTGTTGAATATTGTATTCAAAGAATCAAATTAGGAAAATAATGATAATGTTAGGAAAGGATATCATTAACTATACAGCTAATAACATTGTTCTTTAGCATTAATTATCTTGGAACCTGGGTAGAAAAAACAAGCCTTGATTATGTTAGATATTCAGTTCCCCAATAAGGTTAACATAATTCTAATATCCCCTTTCTTATATTAGTATACGAAAATTTCAATAAGGTTGTCTTAATCTGACAATTTGAAAAGGAAATGAATTTTTTGAGAATTCTTTCAAAATGAAAAAGATAATTGGTGTGAAAACGTTTGAGTTATATCAAAAGAAATCACAAGATTTTTCCCAATTCAAAAAAATCACATTGAAAAATTGAAAACTGAGAACATGGATCACGGTGAATGTATATGATGAATATCTCTTTGGACATAAAATAAAATTTGGAAAACAATTGTTATCAGGCAATTCAATAATATTTCAATGATAAAACTTGAATAAATTTAACTTAAGATTATCAATATTTAAATTTATTTATGCAATTTTGGAGAGTAAATTTTTTTGAAAGAAAAAATAAGAAATGTAATAAATTTATCTATATATGTAATATAACATTATCTATGACGATTATATTTAAATTTTTGAGAATGGTTTCAATTAATGTTAATTCTTGATAATTGATCGAAAATCTTTCAAATGTCATATTTTAACCCCAATTGTTACAAAGGTACATTTACTATTTTTGACAAAATTTTAAATTTTCATGGGGTTGTAAATCTTATAATAACTAGATGAATAAGGAATGAATCCCAGTATAATGTGCATCATTATATTAAACACTATATGTAAGGCTAATGATTCTATTAACACTTATGAAGATCTATAGTATTTGAGCAGATAAATTTGATAATTTCCAAAACTCTTATATTTCAAAATTAAAGTGTGCGAATGCATTTAAATGAGAGCAAAAAGAGAATGATGCTGTTAAAACTAGGTGTTAATTTCCAATTATTTCGCATCACAAGAACTACCCAGTAAATTCGGCTATCTTTCTTTGCAATTATTTTCTATTTTACATATATTATAATGGTTAGGGTTTGAAGAAAAGTTACTAGAGAATTATTGACTTTTGAAATAATGCAGAATTTTACTTGAAGAAATCATTAATTTATGAGCTCCAAATTGCTAAGCATGACGAAGGATCATTAAATTTGCTACAATTAAATACACTTATTGCCGAATTAAGATTTTTGAAATTAAAAGTTTGAAATATTGCCTTTTTGAATAAAAATTTAAATTTGATTATATAATCATGATAATATATTATTGAAATTAAAAGAAAATATTTTAAACCATTCAAATATTTTGAATGTCTTATCAATTTAAAATATTAAAAGATAGCTTGATTTTATCATCATTAGTTGTTATCAAAGTTTTCTTCTTTTGATGAACAACAGTAAATGATTTGTTAATACATTGTCTTCCTTTTTCGCAGCAAAATCAAAAGTTATGATGATAATCTTGTACTCAATTTTGAAACTCTCTGATTTACAAGTAAGCATTCCTTTGGAAAAGCAGTCCTATTCTGTTTTCAAGATATTTTAAAGCCCCTATTTCATACAATGTGCAGATCTATTCGAAATTGCAAGAACTCTCAAGAAAAAATGCAGCAGCAAAGAAGATTCCAAAGTTTCTAGCATCAAAAATTTACAACCTTAATACAACAGTTAAAGAGAAGCTCGAAAAGAAAATATTTAACCATAAAGCTGGAAACCATTCGATATCTACTATTGGATCTAATAAAAAGTTAATTATAACATATTTTACATGCTATTTGTTGACTTTGTTCCATTATATTACCATATATATCTTTTTGAAATCTAAAATATTTTTACGATTTTAACCATGTGTTGTTGAAACCATATATCAATCTTAGCTAAAGTATAGTTTATGAGTCTGTCACCATCTAACGTATGAATTTTCAAAAATGTCAAATATGTTCATTTTTTCTGTATATTCAGCCATAATTTCATGTATTTATACTATTCAACTATTATTTAATATTTTTATCGATTTAAATATATGATAAGATGCTTAGTTCTCCCGGAAAACGATTTTTAATCGCAATTTTAACTTTCCAAAAATAATTCAAAAATAAAAATCCCTCTCAATTTTCTAAATTTTCTAACTAGCCAAATCTCTAGCCAAATTTTTTTGGCCCGTATAAATATTGTTAGGCACTATATAGGGATGCTATTTATCCTATTTTCATCCCATTTTACTGTTATCGCCTAGTGAATGTACCTTTATTGTTACATTAATCAAAGCCGATATCAAAATTGTGAACTTTATTTTTACTATCATTCAGAATTATAATATTGATTCAAAGTGTACGAAACTCTCCCAGTCGATATTGAAAACCAAAAGATCATCGAACAAAATGTCTACTCATTAAGAGAAAAAATAGGTCCGAATCAATGCTACAGAGTTTGGAGTCCTTTATTCAGCCAAACATTTGTTTGTAAAGTCGTTAAAGGTGAATTCTCATTCCATCAGGAGATCCATAATTTCATGCAACTCGAGCATCCAAATATTTTACGTATTGTTAATTACTTTAACGAAGGAAATAAGTTTTTCATTATTTCGGAAGACTGCGTTCACGGAAATGTGAAGGAATACTTAGATCAGACGAACATTTCCACAACAGAAAGAATAGAATTTTGCACAGATCTGATCAGAGGTCTCAATTATCTTCATTCCAAAGGAATCACACGCAATCACTTGAAATTAGAGAACATTTTAGTCGATAAATCATGCAAAGTTAAGATTGCTGACTATGGCCTTCCTTATTTCATAGATGAATCCGATGAAAAATTTGGAGGTCCAAAATATTTTTTGGCTCCTGAAGTTTTACAGAAACTTAACGTCAATACATTCAAAGCAGATGTCTGGGCACTTGGAATTATCCTCTATTACGTTGCTTACAAAGAGCTTCCGTTCGGAGATGAAGAATTGTGGAATGATTTCACACAATATGGCCTTGCTCGCATTCCACACTTCATTTCAGAAGAATTCATGAGAACTCTCAAGCTCGCGCTTCAAGTAAATCCAGAAAAAAGACCAACCCCTCAAGAATTGTTTAAGGTTATGAACAACCAAACGCATATTCCAGATCCAACAGCGATGGCAAGAAAGAGGAGGATATCCAGAATGAATCGCTCTAGCGCTTCCTTCAAATCTAACGTATTAAATCCTACATTCGGAACTTCTCAGCTTTCTTTGACAAAGAGCACTTTCGTCTCGAGATCAAATCCTATGTTATAATTGTTTTGTTTCTTTTTGTTTAAAAAATTACATATTTCACTTTTGAACAAGTTTTACCATATAAATCTTCTTATCCGAATGGAATCATGCCATTCTCAAACTATGAAATGACTTTCTATCCAAATACCAAATAATATTTCTTCCAATAATTATATTATAGCAATATGAACTATCAAAATTGTAAACACACTTAGTTGTAATAGTTTGACATTTATTAATGCTGATTGCGAAATGAAATTTTATTTTGAAATATTTAATTTTAAGTATAACATAGATTTTCGATATGTATTTAAAATTTTATCTATTATATAAACATTTGTTCAATATAAAATTGCTTTACATCTTCGAGATATGTTAAACAAAAAGAAACAATATTGAAAAATTCCAAAAAAAATTCGAAAATTGAAAAACAATATGAGAAAATGTTAGAATTCCAATCATATTTCTGATTTTGAAATTTTTTTGGAATTTGCTCATGCAATAATATAGCATCGCATAGGTACAGCAATGAATCTATTGCATTATTTCGCAGTTAATTTTACTTCATACCATATCGATTCAAATTTTACCTTCAATTTCTATAATAATGAAGCAATTTCTCGTTGTTACTCTTAAGTAATTAAAATAATTCTTGATAAAGCTGGGAAACCATATTTAAAAATGTCGAACATCAATTTCAGGACTAATTTTTCCGGTTTTCGCCAAAAATTCTATCTAGCCCATGATTAATACAAATTTTATCGAATTTACCCATAGATTTTTTGATCAAAACTCATACTTATTCCTAGGAAATTTACATTTTTTTACCATTATTCGCAATCACTACAATATTCATTTACTTTCATGAAGAACTTCCAATATGCTACTATTATTCAAAAATATATTCATATTATATATAATATAGTTTATAAAGAAACAAATATATTATTTTGTACCAATTGCAGCCCACGAAGAAACTCTCTTCGGTAGCTCTTTCTTCTTCGGAGGCGCTGAAAGTGCTGGAAAGTCCTCATTCAAAGGTTTCGTTGAATTTGGCCTTTGCTGTATTGCTGCCCAAGCAGATTGAGGAGCAACTTGTTTTTGAAGATGCTTCGGAACAAATTTTGGTGGCGGAAGGGGACTTCCATCGAGAGAAGGAAATTCTTCAGCGAAAGTCTTCTTTCTCTCAGGCTTTATCGGCTGAGCTTTGACATGTGACCAAGCAGATTTAACTGGCTTTGATTCTGTAGGTTTTTCTGGGGTTTCAATCAAAGATGGGAAATATTCTGTGTCAAACTCTTGTACAACTGCGTCTTCCTCCTCTTCTCCATCATTATCTTCGTCTTCTGTGTCCTCCTTAAGTCTGTAAGCGATTGCTCCTGAATATTTTTTGATGATACTCTGATCAACAATTCCTTCGAGGTCGATCAGCGCAAAATCTACTTCAGCACCAGATGGAAGGTGCCCAAGTATCGGATTTTGCCTTCTGAATCGTTGTGTAACTGTTGTCGATCTGATTTTCAAAATTTTCGCTGTAATTTGTTGAGGATAATTCTTGATATCGCCAAATTGCTCTTTAAGCATCTTTTGATTCAAATTTTCAAGGTAAATATTTCGACCTTTCGATTCTTGGAAGAAAACAACAGTTTCGTTTGGCCTTTCTAGTGTAAATGACGGTTCATTTGATTCTGGAAGCTTCTCTGATTTCAAAGAGTCCAAAATACTCTCAATCATTCCAATTTTTGGAGTATCAAGGTATTCTGGAGAAGAATATATGACTTTTTGTGATTTGAGATTGGTCCTCTCATCTTCTATTATATGAGAAACGTATTCGCTATCGGCCAACATAAAATGAGAAAATTTTGAACTGGGTTGTGAAGCAAAAGGAAGCTGATTCATGTCTACTTCAGTAGTTCCATCAAAACAGCAGCAGTTGTGCCTATTTTTGATGACTTTTTGGAAAGTAATTTCTTCAGAATTTTCATGTAATCGCAAATCTGTTCGTAACAATTCTTCTTGGGTAATGCTCAAGAAACAAACAGGACATATTTTCTGTTTTGAACAAGCTAAGTGCTGACAAATGCAGTCAGCGCAGAAAATATGACCGCACTTTGTAATTCTTGGAGCAACTGGAGGAAATAAACATATAGGACAGACGAAATCGCATGGTTGATGAGCGATTACAGAAAAAAGTAAGTCCCATTCATTACCTGAAGATGGATGTAAAGAGTGAGAAAATAAAACATTGTTCAATCTATTTAACGGGTCTGGAGTATTAGAATTTGCTAGCATATCGCAATTTTTATATACAAATTGGAAATTTCCGGCAGTAAAAGCAGATGAATTTTGAGGAACCATCGAATTAGTTTCTCTGCACTTTTGCTCTTCAAAAGTGTATTTTCCATTCGGAAATCTGTAACATGGCTTTGGGATCCTACGCTGGAAATTCTTTTTTCCGTCTTTTTTGGGTTTTTGTCCTTTTTTCTTCAATTTTTTAAAAATCTAGCACTTTTCTTGGATAGTTATCTGCCACGTAAATTCATCGTCGTTTGACACACCCTCAGAATTTTTCTGATTCGGAGATTTTATCAATTCGTATGCCACTTTTTCTCTAGTGAAAAAACTATAAAATAAATTTTGTGAAATGGATGATTTAGGAATTTCGCCGAGAGGTAGTATGGGTGAGTACCTCACACATGTTGCAAAAGAGTGCACATGTTTGAGTTTAACACTTAGAAGACCTCCAAGACCTTCAATCGCAGCATTAAAAGCGAATTCAACACTGATCAGAAAACAACACAGTCCATTACTAGAAAATGAAATATCTCCATATTTGACAGTCGAAGGTGCCATTGAATGTATAAACAGCAATAATTTTTCAAATATCGTCGAAATGGCAGCAATGATTGAGAATTGTGCAAATTCAAATCAGAGAATGCTCGACAAACTGGTAGGATCAGAAGAACTTGCACTCGAATTAGTTAATGCACTTTCAAATGATGCTTTTCAGGATTTCTACAAAGTTCACGTCATGGAAATCATCTGTTCATTGTTTGCCACGTCAAATATCATGTCAGAAAATTATGTCGATAATGGATTAACTATGTCGATTATTGATATGATCCAATCTGAATCAGAAACAATAACTACGGCTACGCTTACTTTAATTAGACAGACATCCGGAGTTGCATATGTCAAAGATTCTATGCTTACTTTCGGATTGCCTGACTATTTAATACAATTTTTATCAAATATTACAGACCCTGCGATAATTGAGGACGCCTGTGTCGCATTATGCTCTATATTCCATAATGTTGATGAGGTCGACTCAACTGTGCTTGAAGAATTCATTACAAAGCTTGCACCACTTTTGGATCTTGAAGTTCCAAATGGAGTGCGCGCAATTATTACAGCTTATATCAGTATTACAGACCAACAGCCTATGCTCATCCACAACGCTTACGATGCAGGAATTCCCATTAAAATAATACAATTAATACCTATCGAAACTTTAACAGGGGCTTGCTTGATTCTCCTTGCAAACTTCTGCCATTTTCATCCAATACAAGTGAATACTCTACTAGAAGCAGGATTAATTAATATTTTACTTCAATTGATAGAAAATTCACCACAAGCGGGCGGAGCTTTTGCGATATTCTCAAACCTCATCGAGAGTGTAACCGCTCAGGTAATTGAGGTTTGCAAGCCTCTCATTCATTTTTCAGTAGAAATGACAAAATCGTGTTCATTTGAAACAAAGAAGGAAATTGTTTATTTCATATGCACATATATATTATACTCGAACGCAAGCAATATAAAGGATATTGTAAATGAAGAAATTTACGAAATCGTGATAGAAATGCTTGGGTGTTCGATTCCTATCATTATTAATAGATGTTTGGATGCACTCCAAAAAATAGCAACAGTTTTGGAGAACTTCGTGTTGGATGTCGACTCCGGTATTATCGATGACCTCTTCGACGCTTTGGATTCCTTATCGCAGTCAAATATTAAGAGTATAGCTAACCATGCAATATATATCGAACCATCTTCAGCAACTTCATACTGAATGAAGAATCTTTTACGTTTCTTTTATTTAAACCTGTTAATTATGTTGAATTGTTTTGAAAAAATGATGTGACCTTTTTTAGATTTTTACTATAACCTCATTCTGAAAATGAAGTTATTTACGATTTGAATATATCATCACAAACCTTATCCAGAAAATCACCGGACAAAACTAAAATCTATAAAACGGCATTAAAAAATAGAACTTAATTTGAACAGGGTTATTTCTTGAAATTTACTCTAAAAAGTTTGCCAAATTCTAATATACCAAAAATACTAAGTTTTAAGACTAAATAATTTCGATTTAAATATTAATACGCATGCATGCTATATAGAGGGTTTAATCGGAGTAATCATCCTGCTGGAACTCGTCATCATCATCACCATCATCGTCATCTTCTTCCTCATCATCGATTTGTGTATAAATGCCCTCGACCTTGACTTGGCAGCCAGCTGTTGTGAAGACGCAGGCTTCCATTTCGTCCAAAGCCATGAAGTTGCATGCAACTTCCTTTGTTTCACCAGTGAATTTGGCAAGTTCCTCGTTTGTACGAGTGATCTTCTGTTCAGTCTCTTCTGTTCCATCAGCAACTGGTAAGAAGGAAATTGTAACTACAACTTCTTTAACATCGTCTGGTTTGGAAACAAGAATAACTTTCTCAAGATTTACACATGAGTAGTTGTTAAGTTGAAGGTTTTCGCGCTTATCACCCTTGAATGTCTGTGTGAACTTCGTGGACATGAAATTCTGGTCCTGAGTATCCGTTTATTCCCTTCAAAAATATTGAAAGATTTGGCGCCATTTCATTGTAAAGCTCAGAAGTTAAAATCATTACCGTAAGTTATCCTTAAAAAGTTTATGTTGGTGCAAATAACATTATTAAAAATCAATATCGAAATTGGACATTGAATATTTGATCGGGGACATAAACAATAGTAAAAACTAAGTCTCATCACACTTTTCAATGCTCGATTTTTAAAAACTGTTTAAAAATGGAGCTTATATTGAAATAGTGTAGAGACTAAAAATTACCACAGACTATTTCAGAGGATTGAGTTGCCACTCAATCCTCTGGAAAGTCTGAGGTAATTTGCAAAATTAAAAATAAAAAGTATTCAAATAATTTTAAATACCAGATTGAAATCGAAATTGGCGCCAAAAAAAACAATAAAAGTGACACAAACGATGGAAAATCGATGTAAATGGAAAATTTTAGCACTATTGCTAGAATGAAAACCATTAAGATTTTGATGGGTTTTGAAAAATAAATTGAATTGATATTATTGAAAATCATCTCGAAGCAACCAATGAGTTCGCGACCTTAATTTAAAATGAATTTTAAAATATGCGATAATAATGACTGATTCAATAAGTTTTCGGCTAAGAAAATATAAGGTATGAAATATTATAATGGAAACAATTTACAATTCGTTAAGGTTCTAACTGATTTAGTTTTCGCAGAATGAGCTCAGCTAATTTTCGAAATTAATCTTCGATCTTGACTTGTTGTTCTCAGCACTAAGTATCAAAATAAGTTTATGATTAGAATCTTGATATCCCCTAAAATAACTATTGAATGAGAAATGGAAGTATGGATTCTCGAAATTCAGGGTATTATGATGGCTTTTATTAGATTTTAATTCAGAACACACATAAGAATATCAGCACTTAATTTGCTTTCTTCGTGCTAGAACAAACTTAGTTGGTTTTAGAGAGAAGATAAAATTAATTGATAGTTAATATGAATGGTTAATAGATCGAATAGATTTGAAAGGTTATGTTAAACCTATATTGATTAAAGAAAGTCTTTAATACTAACATTCTGTGGAAAGAAAATCGTTGCAACTGAGAATACGGGATTATAATTATCGTGACTTGATATACAATATAATCATTTATTTGTAAATGCTATAACGTAGATCATTTATATTCGAAATTTACAGTTATTAAAAATTTGTTGGGAATTGTATTTTTATTATAGTGCTATGATTAATAACTTAATGAAGAATAGATTTATGATTTAACCATTTGAATGACTTTTCAAATTCTGAAAAGTTTATTGGCATAAAGATAATTGAAGATTACCAATGATCATCATCTCGCGACACCTTATTTTTGAGAACTCAGTAATTTTTGTGATATCTCACAATTATTTTCTGAACCGCGTAAAAATTATTAAATAGAAACTCTTTCTCTATCTCAATTAATTAATCATCCCCCTCAAAAATAATACCAAAATAATATTATGATTTGCTCTAACACCAATTCCGATAATATCTATCAATAAATCATAATCGTTTCAATTTTTTCAATTCCTTTTAAAATTTTTTTTATAAATTTTTTTTCCTTTATTTTTTTAAATGGCATATACCTATCCCCGTACAGTCACTCAACCAATTCAACCAGCCCCAGCGCGCCCTTATCAGAAGGTCATGTATAATACTCCTCAATATTACTACCAACCTCCCCCGCAGCAACCTTTGTATGCAGCACCAGCCCAACAAATTATCTATCAGCCACCACAGCAGTATCAAATGGTTCAATATTTACCAACATCTGGCCAACAAGCTCAGCCAGTTTACATCCCAGAAGATGTTTATGCTCAGCAAATGCAAATGTCGATGCAGCAAATTCCGCCACAACAACCGGTAAGATATGTTCAGCCACAACAACCAGCACCGATTGATCCAACCCCGCAACCTGCTGCTGTTGTTGATCCAAGAAGGAAGAAGAAAGAGGTTCCTACATCTCCTCAATACACACAAGTTCAACAGACTTACACTCAGCCAAAGAAAGCTGCCCCAACCCCTGCACAAACCTACCCAACAGCTCAACCAATCCAGGTTCAAACTCCAGTACAAACACCTCCGGAAACAGAACCTCTTCAATCTCTCGAAAATTGTCTTCCAAAAGTCCCAACTTCCATTATTTCAAAGGAATTCAGCGCTCCTCCAGGTTGTTTCAATATAATAAGACGTGGCAATCTGCCTGGCCTTTCATTTTCACAAATCTAGGGAAGATTTTTTTTACGTGTTCTGCGAAATTTTGTTATCGTTTGTAAATATTCTTATAGAAATTATGATTATTTAAGTTGAGCTTAATAATGTGAATTGTGATTAGAAGAAAAGTTTATAAATCAGTAAAAAATTCGTTTGATAATTGAATTGTTGATAAGGCAATTCAAAATATTTGAGTAATTACAATTGTGAGACAATTCAAAATTGTGAAGTAATATTTTTGAAAGCACATTCAATAAGATAAAAATTGAGAGAAGCCGCAAAATTGAGTTCTCTCAATTAATAAATATTTATGATATTAATTCTTTGTTCTCAAAATGTAAAACTTTTTCATCATGACAGTAGCTACCATAATACATTATTTTAATTTCGAAAATTGAATTTTGATTTAACAATCCGATCATTCTTGAAATTAAAAAATTAACAGTTATATTATATGTCCTCGCTGAATCCCAATTACTAATGTATATAATCTTCTCAATATTCAACTTCTGGCCAACTTTTGAATTGAATAAATTAATATTAATAATTTCTATGATCTTATGACTGTTTCATTATTTTCAATTTATTTTTTCATTCTGAATGTAAACCGATCAAGATTTTCTTTCACGGATAAAATCCATTATTCAACATGTTTTCTATCTAAGTTTGCAAAATTTCTTTTTAAAAGATTATTATTTGAAATTGTCATTGCTCTCAAAATTCCAAAATAATTACTGTGCTTCCCTATAAAAATTGAATCTTTCTTCAATCAATCTTTCTTTAAATTTTCTTTCTATTCCTATTAATCATTATAAATCTGTTAATTTTCTTAACATTTCCATCATGGGTGTAAATTTTTTATGAATTCAATCTTTTGATTTTTCTTATGAGTAACTTGTTGCTATTAATACTATCAATTAAATTCAAAATCTTTATTTTCCGAGATTTCTCAAAAGTTTTTTTTATCCTACTCCTCGTTTCAAATCGTGAATCTTAAATATTTAATCATTTATTTTTAAAGTATAGTTTTTTTAGAAAATAAATATCAAACAATCAAAAAAATACAAACAATAATCATTAACTGAAAAATGTTTCTTCGCAATAAGCTTGGAAAAATTGAGTGCCAATAAAAGCCTCTACAAAATCTAGATCGCATTCATTTATGCCAATCATGTATGCATCATTCACAAATCCGACCTTTGGATTATCAGGATCTGTTGTATCCCTTACTCTGCATCCACTAAGCCTCTCAGGACCTACCATTTCATTCAAGTATTTTGTGAAAATCTGTTGAATTTTCAGAGCATTTCCGGGCGTGAAAATGTATTTGTTTTTCCTGTTCCATTTGAATGACAACGCAACTCCTGATCCAGCAATTTCATTCATATTTTGGCTATTCCTCTTACAAGAGCCAATCTGATTTAACTGGTTTTGCAGAAGGTTTTTCAGTTCGCTGAACTTCGGAAGAATCGGAACTGACTCGGGAAACTGCAATTTATCGTTATCTACGTCGATCATACAAACTTCTGAAGGATCAACAAAAGAATTAAGAGCTGTCAAGAACCCATCGAACTTTAGGACACCAAAGATATAAGGAATCGGTGTTCCGAGGTAGTCAAGGAATTCCGCGCGGTTGGGAACTAATGGAAGAAATGCGCCTTTGTATTCAAGAGGAGAAATCATCGGAATAGCGGAAAGAACTACGGAACTGATGTTGTAAAAGTCAGATCCGTAAACGATGATTCTTTGCTCTGTTAATATCGCTGAAAGAAACTTTAAAACGTTTTTCACGGATAAAATAGAGAATAAAACGTCAAAAATAGTAGAGGCGATCTGTTTGGCAGCTGACTCAGTTGCTGTAATAAAAACACTGTTAGTGTTCGTTAATTTAAGGGCACAATTTTGTTGATTTGAAATTTGAAGATAAAGAGATAAAGTATCGATAATTTTTGGAGGTATAAAGGATGGATTGATCGATGAGACTATTGGATTGCCGGAAAGTACTGTTAACGGAGGATTAAATTTATGTAAATTTTCTAGTATACCTGGATCTAGTTTTTGTTCATACTGAAGCAATTTAACATCGAATTTTGTGTTGATTTCGAGCTGTGGATTGCTGATTAATGATATTATCATTAGTTGAAATTGAAAATTTTGGTTAAGCTGTGGATTTTGAGTGATGGTACAAATACAAAATGGTTGTCCAGACTCAGAATTGGATAAAAATTGTGGTCCTGATGGATAGAAATGAGTGCAGACGCCAAAAAATAGTTTTCCATCTTCATTTAAAGTGAACACGAACTGATTTTGTAATGATTCTTTCTTACTTACTGTGCAATTCATCCCATTTGGATAGCAGAAGTGTTTGATTCTATATATCGTTTCCGGCGTATATGGAAATTTATTAACAGGGTATACGAACAATAACGCAATTTCGTCTGGTACGACTTCATGAGGTCCAAGAATAAATAAGAATTTTCCGAGTCTGTTTTCCTTTTCTATTTCTGACTGATTTAATTGGGATTCCAATTGATCTTTTGTACTCAGAACACCAGTAATACGATCTAAACTTAATTGACCTCTAATTTTATGTGCCTTTTTGTCTTTATCCTTTCGAAAGGCTTTGAACATAAAAGTATTTAAGTTTATTGAAAAAGTCAAACAAAAAAAAATTTTTTTTGGAGTCCAAATTTTTATCCGATCTGTAAGCTATAAAATATCAAAATATTAACAGGTATAGTGATCGCTGTTGTAGCAATTGCAGCAATAGTTGTCGGAATTTTTTTATTCCGCAAAAAATGCCAACAAGAAGACTCAGCAGAAGAAATTCAAAACATTTAGATATTGGAATTTCAAAATTTGAATCAATTTAGTCTCCGAAAATAGAAAATTGGTTATTTGTGTTTGTTTGTAATATATTAAAGATATAATGTTATTTGTTTTAACAAATTGGGGAGAAGCTTCCTAAACTTTTTAATCCCATAAATATGGTCATTATCTGGAATAAAGAGTTAAGCGTCATATGTCACTTTTTGTACTAAGGAAACATCGACTTTATGCGTTATGACTTTTCGATGAGGAAACAAGTGTTCACGTATTATAAACTTCCTTATTCCAATAAACCGACCCTAAACATAATTAATTCTAAGAATGATAATGGTCTCTTTTCTATGATAACCAAATCAATTTGGTTATCATAGTAAAGCACCAAAAACTGGAATAGGAATCGGCAATATGGAATCATGAAGCAACTCGGATAAAATAAATATGGAACATTCATACATCCATTCCCTATTTTTAACCATATTATATTTTCAAACAAAATTCTCGTACTATTTTCAATAAAATTTGCATAACCTTGTTATTACTCTTAGGCGAAAGATGATTTTAATGTTAATTTTATAGAAGAACTTTTAATGCATAATAAAATAACCATTTCCTATAAATTTAGACTTAAAACGGTGACAATAAACAAGCTTTAGTCTAGAAATTAATTTTCTACTACTATAAATGCATCTTTATCTTTAATTAGAAAAAAATTTATCAATTTTATTATCCAGATGAAAAAAGAAGTGACATATGATATTTTATCTAATTTAAAATCTTTTATTGATTGTTTTTAAAAACTTTGCATTTTGTATGAGTATTTCATGTTTAAATCAGTATAAATACGCAAAATACTTATGAAATTCCAGCTGTTATTCAGTACTATTCATTTTTCAGCAATCATTAACTGTGGAAGAGTATGGCAAACGTTCGATAATGATCATGTATACTCAGATCATCAAGAATGAATTAAAGTCAATGCAGGGAAATGGATAATCCGATTAAAAACCCCAAAAAGGAAAAAGATATTATATGAACGTCTCACAAATGGTTAGTACTAAGCTCTTTCCTGATGATTGAATATTCTTTCATATTTTTGTATATTGTAAGGGATTTTCTCCCCAAATATATAATACCTTCCTTATAAACGATCTACTTTCTTTGAATACAAGTATAATTTTACATTTTAGGAAAAAAATTTATTTTTTCAAATTTATCTTATAACAATAGAGATTTATATATGTGTGTGTCAATATAGGCTTTAGTGGTATAAAATTGGGTAGATTTTGTTTTATTTTGAGTAAAAAATTCAAAAAATACTACCTCATTTTGCGTGCAAAGGAATAGTCAGAGCTATTTAATAACATTTTACGAATGAACTATGGAATTACTATAACTTTTGAAGAAATTTCAAAGTTAATAGAAGATTGTATTTTAGAAATCAGCTAAAAGAATGATGTGCATGCTCAAGCGTTAAAGTATCCTAATCAGAATATAGTAATATACAATGATTAGCAAAGCAGATTTGAATCGGCAAGAAGAGTTGCTTAAAAAATCAGTTGAGTCTTCTCTAGTTTCCACACTGCCTATTCCTGTTTAAGTGCGGTTATTCCTATTCCAGTTTTTGGTGCTTTACTATGATAACCAAATTGATTTGGTTATCATAGAAAAGAGACCATTATCATTCTTAGAATTAATTATGTTTAGGGTCGGTTTATTGGAATAAGGAAGTTTATAATACGTGAACACTTGTTTCCTCATCGAAAAGTCATAACGCATAAAGTCGATGTTTCCTTAGTACAAAAAGTGACATATGACGCTTAACTCTTTATTCCAGATAATGACCATATTTATGGGATTAAAAAGTTTAGGAAGCTTCTCCCCATTGAATACACTAGAAAAATTAAAGGTACGGACACTTTTTTTCTGACCGGATTTAAGCCATATACTCAAGAGTATAGATTTCATATAGGCCACATATACTAAATGTGTCGTATGAAGAAAATTGGTCTTGCCAATTTTGTGATATATTGTTCTAGAATTATATTAGAAGATATAAGTTAATAATGCATATGCCAATGCTCTGCATCATTTTTGTAGCTTGAATAATGCATAAATATATCATTCTTCAAAAGAATCTGTGAGATTTTGTTTCAATTTTTTAACAATAATGAAGTATCAGTAGTTATTTCTGCAGAAATTCAATAACACATAGTAAGCAACTAATAATACATCCTAAATTTAGGCTTGAAAAACTTGTTTAGAAAATACTTCTTTGAAAAATTGATATTATCGTTTTATAACAGTCCGTGAGTAATGTACTAATGTTATGAATCTGATTTATTAAGTTAATCTGGCTCAAAAATGGTTTTAATCGATGATATTGAATCGAAATACACATTTTTAAAAGGAATGTATAGCTTTTTAAGATAAAATTATAACCTAATCATCAAGTACACTCTAGTTATATATGAAAATCTATCTTAGCTTTAAGTTTAAATTCCAAAAAAAAATTCAAAAAATGAAAGAGTGGGGGACAAACTCGCCCATTGTCACTTTTTCATTAACCTTAAACTTGTAATTTTCATTATTTTTAATTAACCTTATTTCTTTCCCAATTCCTGATTTATTTTATTCACTTACTATTAAAAGTCACATTTTAATAAAATATAATAATTTATTTATAGCAGTTTTTACTATACTGTAATAAAAAATTAATTATAATAAATTAAATGTTTATTAAATCAAATGTTTTCTTTGCAATAATATTTATAATGTTGAGTAAACAATGTTGGGATCAAGTGTATCATTTTTCAGACCTTTCTGAACAGCTTCAAGCATACTGATGCATTCGACTTTTTTAAATTGTGTCATTTCTTCGAAATCTCTTGTGACTTTTTTGATAACTTTAACACTTCTCTCTGAATCCAGACCTTTAATTTGCAACTTAATCAGGAATGAAGGAACAACACTGGAATATAACTCGATGACAAGTTCATCGAGTCGAAGATTTGGTTGTACACCACTTGTATGTGCCGGATACCATTGTGTCAAATTTTTTCTGAAATTAACTTTAAAAGTACTAAGTAAGATCATGAGATATAGCAATATATGTTTAAACTAACTTATATTTTGGTTGTACACCACTTGTATGTGCCGGATACCATTGTGTCAAATTTTTTCTGAAATTAACTTTAAAAGTACTAAGTAAGATCATGAGATATAGCAATATATGTTTAAACTAACTTATATTTTGGTTGTACACCACTTGTATGTGCCGGATACCATTGTGTCAAATTTTTTCTGAAATTAACTTTAAAAGTACTAAGTAAGATCATGAGATATAGCAATATATGTTTAAACTAACTTATATTTTGGTTGTACACCACTTGTATGTGCCGGATACCATTGTGTCAAATTTTTTCTGAAATTAACTTTAAAAGTACTAAGTAAGATCATGAGATATAGCAATATATGTTTAAACTAACTTATATTTTGGTTGTACACCACTTGTATGTGCCGGATACCATTGTGTCAAATTTTTTCTGAAATTAACTTTAAAAGTACTAAGTAAGATCATGAGATATAGCAATATATGTTTAAACTAACTTATATTTTGGTTGTACACCACTTGTATGTGCCGGATACCATTGTGTCAAATTTTTTCTGAAATTAACTTTAAAAGTACTAAGTAAGATCATGAGATATAGCAATATATGTTTAAACTAACTTATATTTTGGTTGTACACCACTTGTATGTGCCGGATACCATTGTGTCAAATTTTTTCTGAAATTAACTTTAAAAGTACTAAGTAAGATCATTTATTTTTGCATAATATAATGCCAATATGGTTTCTTTTGATTTTATTTCATTTATAAGCAAATCAGATTTACCCAAAAACTCCACTCCATAAGCGTTCATTTGCTAAATTAAAAAGTGACAATGGGCTAGTCTGTCCCTTTCTCAAAATGAAAAATAAAATAAAAAAATACAATTTTTATAACAAAATTCATAAATTCAGATTTTTTTGGAAAAATAAATATGTTTTCTAATTGATCTTGATGCAATATATTTCCTTTTATTCCCGAAAAAAGCCGATATTTCTTGAATGCAAAATTTAATTTTAAAAAACGAACAATTTTTGATCTTAAGAAGAACTATTTCTGGTCAAAATTCAAAATCAGGTAGATTTACCGAAAGAAATAAACATAAAATTTTTATAATTATAAATAACAATTATTTCGAAGATGCTACTTGAGTTACATGTAACCCAAAAGTAATCTTCTTTGTGTAGGGGTAAAACTAGTTACAAGTAATAGAAATCCATAATTTTTATTGCTGGTTGTGCTTTTGCACTAATATTTTTTTGATAACTGTATGTCGTTCATTATGATAACGGCTAATTTACAAGTTAACTAATTGGTAGTGTATGTTTTTGATGAAATGCAATTCGTTTCTAAAAATTGGCAAGACGGATTTTTCTCATTTTCTACATACTTATTATATATTTGTACATGATTTATTTCCATGATTTTCAAAGAGAAAGCGCGGTCTCAAAAATATTTCATAAATTTAATTTTTTATGGTAGAGATTTTCCGATACAGTTATAGGTTTTTTTGAATTTTGGTAATCCTGGCTGATCAAATGATGAGAAATTTGATAGGTTGCAAAAAATCAAAATATGTTCTTTTTTGTAAACTTTAATTCATGCAACAAATATTGCATTCTCTTAAGGGTATACTAATGCTTTGCATGCTCTAAAATCTTGGTTAAATTCAAAGGGTATAACGAGTTGTAAAGCCAACAAATGCCCCTTGATTTTTTAGAATTTAAGGTTAAAAAATGTCCGTACCTTTGAAAAATTTATGAAACGTTGCAATTCGTAAACCATTTCTTGTTTTTACGCTACTTTTATTTAAAAAACCATTGCAAAAGACCATACGATTCAAATGTATCATAGATGGCTTGACATTTTTGGTCGTATTTTTTTTTGAAATTTCCCACTTTTACAAAAAATTGATCTGACTCAAAAATTAACACTTGGATTAAGAAGAGAGAATATACATACAAATTTTATTCTTGAGGGCGACCCGATTTCCAAACGTTCAAAATTAAAGATGTGGAAACGTGTCTTATCCTTTTTGTTGAAGGCTTAACGATATGGTGGTCTCTAGCTGTTGTTGTTAACAGCAATGAACTAGCTTTAATGCCTGTCGTAATCATAGGCTGTCTAAATTGCTTAAAAACAGCAGATTCTAAAGGAATAACACGTATAGGGTTCATTACGAATGGGTTCGGAGGAGAATTCATCGTTAGGAAAAGAACTCCACATTGTTGACTTTCTTCTATATCACTTGAAGAAAAAACAGTATAGAGTTGGTTATTATATTGACGGGCCACGCCTGTATCTATTGGTGTGTGAGCTCTGATGATTGCTTCTAATTTGTTTAGTTTTAAGAAATCCGTAACCATTTGCTCGGTATATGGACTGCCAATACCACGCTTGGTAAGCTGCATACCATTTGGTGGATCTACTGGATCACCCCAGAGGACATCTGATACAATTCTGTAATCGGCAGTTTCTTCCATGTTATCAAAGGGTTTTGTAATCTTATTTAACTGACTATAATGCCTTAGGTATTGAGAAATACCACCGTGCGTGCAGAAATAACGTTGATTAACGACAGCAGCGAGTGGGAGATAATTAAAAACTTCATTAACATTATTGAAGGGAGAATCATCATTGTAACGAGCAAAGGTTGTTTCATAGAATCCATATTTTGAATTAATGCTTTTGAATTCATGATTTCCACGGACTAAAAAACAATTTTGCGGATATTGAACCAACATTGCAAGGAGTAAAACCATAACATCGATCGAATAGTCTCCTCGATCCACAAAATCTCCGAGAAAAAGGTATTTATGGCTGATCGGTAAGCCTCCATTTTTTAATATTCTGACAACATCGAATATATTTCCATGGGTATCTCCTACAACCATTACCGATCACGTCAAGAGCAAAACAGTCGGTTGAGCTTTGAGAATTGTTTTAGCATGTTCACATAATTCTTCGATTAATTTCGGCGCAAATGTATGAATAGGGAATTTCTCGGTTCCGAGTTGTGAGACATTTGTAAAAGAAGGCGCCAAATATTCTTTATATTCTCTAAGAACGATTTCTGCTGCAGTCATCAATAGGTTTAAAATAATTGAAAATATTTTAAATGGGGTTCTAAAAATTGAAAAATTCTGCATAGTATTGTAATTCTAAGGTGGATAATTACGATGATGAAATTTCAAAAGGTCTCAAAAATTCAATATGATTGCTAAGCTAGTAAATTCAAACTCAATTCTATACCGATAATACAGTATATAATTATTTTTTTTTCCTCAAAATAAGCTATTCAATTTCTGGTTGAATGGAATAATTTCCCGGATTTAAAATGTTTTAAATATCACATATTTTTGTAATTCTTAAATTACAGGGGATTATGTTTTCTGCATTCAATTTAAAATAAATCTAATTTTGGCTATATATTATAACATTAATTTTGACAATAATTTCATTCAAATTAAAAACATTAATTTTACAATTTTAATTTGGTCAACAAAAATGTCAATATTTTGCCCTGCAAATCATTGATTCATGGATTGGACCGAGATATTAACGTAAAAATCCGATTTATTTCTAACAGGATAAAAGTTTTTCCTGAAAATCAGATTTCTTGTTGGAAATTTATAATTATTAATTATAAGATTACCGAGTTAAAGTTTTTAATGCAAATACAGATATAAAATCGTTGGATTTCCTCATTCTAAATTTTTGATTATTCTGCATTATTTCATAATTGAACCATTTGAATCTATTAACTAGTCATACAAATGACACAACAATATTTCCGATATTACCATATGCGGTAATATTGTTGTATTATCATTGATCATTACTTTTAAAGAAATTCTTGATATATTATGGCAAATTTAGGTAAATATCTCTGGAAAACACTGTGGTACCAATCAATTCAATTAATCTGCAATAAGATATTTAATCGAATTCACAGTTCAGATTATATCTATATCATAAGACATTCGTCTAATCCAACATATCTATACCATTAATACAATCCAAAGTACTTAGTTTGTTAACAATATTCTTTATATTTAAAGCACAACTGAAAGAATATTTAAATTAAAGCATAGAATTTTTTATTTTAAATGAAAACATTATCTAAGTGTTGATGTAGGTGTTCGATGTACTTGCTGAAGTCAGGCATCTTCATCACATCGTGGAATGTCACTGGTTTGAGTTTTTCGAATCCGCAGAATTCGAATGCCTTGTATACATTGAACCAGACACCTTCTGCATGGCGGCCCTCGAAGAAAGTTAGTATCCCTAAGTCGTGTACAGCGGCACTGCGCGCCTCCGTACACCACTTAGCGGTTTTGACACTTTACGAAACCAGTAACGTATATTTTACAACACAACCGTAACACCAACTTAACCTTAAATATTTACAAAACTATCTGACACATAAACGACTTCACTAATGATTTCACTAACGACTTCACTACCGTCCTCACTAAATAAAAAATAACCTTATTTTTATTTTTTAAATTTTTATTTCATTACAAAGACATGTCCGACTACATTTACTATGACTCTTTCCCAGAACGTTTCCGTGAACTATTCAAAAAAATCAAGTAAAACTGAGAAACATGCATTTTAACAAAGACAGACCCATTGACGATGAAGAAACCCAATATATTACAATCCCTTATGACGCCAAGTTCATTGCATACATTCCTTATGGACGTAGAGGAACGAAAACTATTTCAACAATGACGAAAAATTATTTCTGGAGCGATGAAGAAAATTGCCTTATCTACATAAATGCATACTTAAAATAAGCTACATATTGTACAAAAGAAGGTTGGACTGGATTTGAGCTCTACATATACGACGACGATGGAAACAGACGTTGTGTATACCCATACGATAATATGTACCATTGTTTTCATCAAGCATTAAACGAATACATAGTCAGTAAGGGTCTCATTCCTGCTGAGTAGAAATGTTATATTTTTGTTCTGTCATTTTATATAAAATAAACTTAAAATTTATGATATCACCACCCTCACACGTATGAAACAATAGCGCAAAAATAAATTTAGGTGAAGTGGTGAAACTCACCTCTTTTTTCACCTAATTTCTCACCTCATGAATTCATGCTTTATATACTCTCTTCCTTGGTTTCTTTTTAGTTGCTTTCTTCACGCTCGTCTCCAACTTGACTGTCTTTCTTCTTCGTCCGTAATGATACCAGTTACTCTCCACCAGTCAATGGGTAAATGGTCTTTCGTAAGGGTTTCCATACATTCCATAGGGACCATACGGAAGAACTGCTGGTGGAGGAAGAGTTCCATCGACTCTATTTAAATGCATTGTTTCACCTTTCATCTGGTCATTAAAGTCTTTTGCGTGTTTTGAAAACTCATCGTCCTTTCCTAAAGCATTTTCCGAATCAGTCGCAACCAAATTGGATGCTTTATTTATGAGCCCTATTTTATTAATCTTACTTCTTTGCAACCCAGCTCCAATCTTCCCTTTATTGCATCTAATGTCTTCGAAACCCTTCCTCCACTCATTTTATTTACTGCGTCATAAGCTCCAAGTGCTTTTGCTCAAATGCTAATGCTTTTGTTCCCATGCGCCTAAAGCTGCCCAAGCTACCATTTACACCATATTAAAATCATCTCTCTTCAATATTATCTCATAAAAGTTCTCGTTACTGAGAAAGTCAATGAAACATAAACATTCTCACGGGCTTCGCCCCACCGCTTTGCGGTCTATCTAACTTTCTTCTATCTCATCTATACGCTTCAAAATGTCTGAACAATTGCTAACATCTTCTACAACAGTTATTTCATCATGAATGACCTTCAAGAACAAGCTATTTAATATGCTATTAAAATCATCTCAATAATGAGTCTCATCCTTTCCATCTTTAGGTAGCACAACATCTTTCATTGAAGAAGGTTCGACAAGTCTTATGTTAAACTTACTGACAAAGTTTGTTATACTATAATGCTTCGGCGGCGAATACATGTAGTTTGAAAGACCTAATATAGATTCTTCAGCAAATTCACTTATACTGGATTTTATAACAATGTTCTCACGAGACCAAATACCACCAATTGACAATCTTGTAAGCAATCCTGCTGAACCTTTCTACTGTAAACATCGATGGTAACATTCCACACGAGTCATCTATTGACATCGTTGAGTCACTGAATTTAATATTTTCTTAAAGCAATCGTCATTATCTAACCATGCAATAGCTTTGAAGTTTTCATTCGAATATACATCTGCTTCATTAAATGTAAAACCTGACTTCTTTGCAGAGATGACTTTAAAATCTATTGAGTTTGTTTCAAAATTATATGCTATTGTAACTTCTGAAGGTAATGGATGCCCTTCCGCAGTCAGTTGTTCTCTCACTACCGTTTGAAGCTTTGTGTTAAAAACTTTCATGTCATCTCCTGTGTCTAGGTTCACATACACAGCAATGGGAAAACTATCTTGCTTCTTTGTTTCATCATTATACCTCAAAACATTAAAGTTCTTCAAATATATGTCCTTCCTGCTGGAATATCTCGAACCTGTCTGATTTCAATAGCTTTCTCACCTCCTACATACTCTCACCAGTGTCTTGGATATTCATAAGTATACTTACTTTCTTTAATTTTGGTTGGTTTCATCATTAACGTGTTCATATATATATATCTTATACTCTTGTCAGTTAGACTCGGTGCTTGTTCTGAATATTTCTGACTTGCATTTTTAATGGAGATAAAATGAAGCATTTAATACATGACGTAGATGAAGACATGAATGAAACTACAGACAAACTTAACTCTTCTCTCATTCTTCCTTTCAGCAAAGATTATGAATTCTGTTCAAATGGTGTGTATTTCTATTGTGGAAAGATGGGTTCAGGTAAGACATTTAACCTCATTCGTCATATACTCATAACAGAGCGTTTAAGTCAAGATTCATATTATGACCAAATCATTATATCAGCAACTTCAGACTCTATGGACTCAACAGCGAAAACATTTATGTCAAAAGTTCAAGCATCTGTCGTTAAAGTTCCAGATAGCGAACTCATTGAATTTCTTCAACGTTACGTTCGACGTAAGAGGAAATATTATGCCATCGTTGAATTTATACAGTCAGGAATGCAAAAGACTTCAGAAGAGATGGAAGAATTATTGAAAAACACCACTTACGTCAATACTCAGGAGTTTACGATATGAAACGAATTACAACTACATTCTGTCCAAACTTACAATATCCCCTTCAAAAAGTATCCTTCAAATACTCTGCTCGTTTGCGACGACTTCGCCGGAAAAGGTTTAGTGTCAAAGCCTGACTCACCATTAGACTAACATCATTACTAAAGTCAGACATTACACACTTAACTGTGCAATACTTATGCAAACATGGCGTTTTCTGCTTTAAACATAAAACTTCATAACTGACTTCGTTATCTTTCAAGGTTTCTCACGTTATGTATTTGAACTCATTTGGAAACAGTCAGGTATAAACTTACCTTTTGAAGAAATTTGGGAAGCATATAAGTCTCTCATCTCTCCTCGTTCATACCTTGAGATTCATATCATGACATAATACCATTAAAGTCAAAAATATTCCATGGGAACGACCAACATTGTTTTAAAGTTAACCTTCAATTGACTGATTGTAAACAAATTCCATGCATCTCTGTCGCCATTTCTGTTAATATTTTTGCTGTCATTCATATCATCCACTTCTCCATCCGTTAGCTTTTGAGGATATGCGTTAGAATAGCTGTTCTTAAATGAAGGCTTTTCACCTTTGAGAGCATAAACTCTATAACTTTCTGCATACTTTATGTTTGAACCTCCTGAGCCATCATATGACATAATTTTTATAGGCTTCCACCCTTTGTTCCGTTCCT